AGCTTTGCATGCATCTCAAGTAAGTGTATTTGAGACAAGAAACCAATGGAATTATCATCAACACAGATGATTAGTATTTTAAAATGCAGGAAAAATGCCATTTTTGACCCACAAAGACAGTATGCAAACAACGAACATCCATTAACAAAATCCCAAGATATTTGAGGCGTTAGTGTCACTGTAAACCTTTTTTTTTAATTGTTAACCAACGGCATTAAATACTCTGCATGATTGCGAGAGAGATGCAACATGTAGGAGCGCAGCACCAAAAGGGGCGCGTTCGGTTGACAATTAAAAATCATAAGGTCTACAATAACAATACCCCCTGAAATGCTTGTGGATGTTTGAGGGATATTAAGGAATATTCGCAACATTAAAGTCTTCTGTATTCGATTTTGCGGATGAGCAACGAGTATGCTTAGTAAGCAAAAGCTTGAGAGAAAGGAAAACTGGGCGATGACGAGATACAAACCAACATCTCCTCGATTCCGCGGAGTCTAGTTATATACTAAAATTTTAGTTTTCACATATTTTTTTTTTCGAAAACTATCATCTTTGGAGAAAAGCTGTATAAGATCTTTTTTGTTCAGAATTATTTTTCGTGGTCGAAAATAGCATATTCTGCACTTTTTTAAATTTATTACATCACTTGTATCTCGGAAACTGTCCTCTTTGGAGAAAAGCTAGAAGAGAGATTGTTTTGTTGAGAATGCCCAAAAAACCTAAAAGCATTTTGACCAGAGTGAAAAGACAGTTTATGGAATTCGGCCATAAAAAAAATTGTAAAAACCTTTTGACGCAATTTGGGCCTTGCAGCATGCAAGTTCATCAAAAGGGGTCTTTGAATAAGTTTATGCAAAAGATTAAGATCTGAATATTTTTCCTATCAGATGCGAAAATATTGCCCGGACTGATAGCGTTGCCTGGAAAGTGAACGATGAACAAGTCAGCGAGAAACTGGAATTTGACGAACAACGGAAATCAGTAAATTCGTCAAGTACGTACTTTTCATCGAAATGAAACGGACTTATATTTTCGTAGGAATACAAAGCTTCAAGATAACCGAGGTACGAAGTTTCGAAAAAATCTGGATGAGTCAGCACGACCTAGCATCCAGCGTAAAAAGGCGCGACATGTGTCGGTATCCAAATTGAGTGCCACGCGGTGTGTGATGTTTATTTACTAATTGAACCTGAATAAACGAAACGAGCACATTCCTGTATGAAATTTTTGAATTGATATTAGTTCACGACGAGCACCTTCAATTTACTTTTTATACTTCACGAGTGTATCCAAATCTTTTCCTTCGATGTTTCCATTCCGAGCTGCGAAATCGTGCAAAATCTGTCGAAGTCGATACAGTGAGAGACTAGACTTGGGACTCCAAGTGTTGAAAATTTAGGAAGAAGTTAGCGAAGTTCTCTTTTTGAGTCGATTGCTGACAACCTTTTCAAAAATTATTCAAGAAAAATATGTGATAAGGCACTACTTGTAATTTATTATGAATTGTGAATACCTTTTTTCAAATCCCTTTTCACGTTTTCGCTGCTGTTTTACCGCACATCAGCTCTGTCATTTTAAATGCTGCTGTTTCTGAAAAATAAAATACCAACTTTCAGGATACCCTGTATATTTTACTCGCAAATTTTAAATCAAATACAAATTGTCACCGGATTGTATCTGAGAAAAACAATCTTGCTTCGGTGCATCTCTAAGAATTGTGATACTACGGCTATCAAGCATCACCGACGACAATTCAAAGGATCTTACTCAAAATGTATGAAATCCGCGGCAAAATTGGTTCCGTGTATAAATATGGTAGGGCTGTGTAGTATCAGTATTAAAAATATCGTATCACTATTAAACAAAACTTGTGAAGGTGTCAATCTTACAGATTTTTATCAGCATACTAATTTAGTTTTGAAGTCATTCGGTTGGTGCTTGCCACGCTAAATGCATTATGCCGCTTTAGGGGCACTAGTTAGTCAAGTTTCAGAGTTTTGTCCAACTTGATGTAGACGCGATGCACTGTGAATCGATAGGAGTACAGAAACGACCGTCTCTCTGAAGTATTGTTGCCCCTGACTGAAATTAGATTTGAGGCTAACTACGGCAATTAAATGGCCTTCAATATAATTGAGGAGTAATTTGCTTTTCATGCCGCTTGAGGCAGGGGTGGGCTTTTCATTCCTTTATATCTCTCTTTTTAGATTGCCAGTGGGACTAGGTCCTCTCGGAAGAAATAATTGCTTTCTATGAACACCATTGTGTGAGATCCTCATTAATAAGTGTCGTGTCTAAAACTTAGTTTAATTACAGGAATCATATAAGAAAAACGAACTAACCAAGACTTTTCATAGAAAGGGGGTGGGCTGATAAGAGCCATTTTTCGCCCATCAGCGATTAGATATGACATATATATTTATGAAGAGTATACTCCATAACAAAGAAAATATACTTATTTCAAATGAAAACTGAGATTCGTGGTATACATATGCGAATTAAATAATTATCTGAGTGTTATATATGTTTATTAAACAATAATAAAAGATAATCAGTTTTCATACAATTAATATATTTTTTACTAACCTTCTTCCTTGTCTTCTTCATTCATCCTTCAGCGGCTGCATGTTGTAATGCATAAACATATTCACGGCTTGGTCTTTTTACTTCAGTTGAGTTGTAGCGGAGTATAAAAATGACACCTTTCTTCTTAGCGACCTTTCTTATATTATTTAAAGTACTTTCAATATCTTTTTTAAACATTAATTTATTGTCACTTACAGGGCGTAAAGCTTGCAGTACCAATTCGCTGAATGTCGATTGCGTAATATCAGGAAATATAGATTCCAGTTTCTATAAATGCTTGAGTTTGAGCTGCCTTTGGTACAGTTATGAGGCTTCTTTTACTTTTACATTGATATGTATATGATATGTATGTATGTGATACACAACATGAATTCGAGTTGTGACAAGGAGGTACTGATAGATGTATATTAGGGCCCTTATCCGTAGTATCATCAGAGGTACTTTTTGATGTAAGCACTCTTGTCCTTACAGAACATGAAGTGGGAGTGTTTTGAGATTGAGCCACGCGGAATGCATATGATCTGCATTTAGGAGACAACTGAGAACCAATCTGCAGATCACAGTTTTTATATTTTCTAAGTATTGCTACGCTGTTTTTGTTCGAGCAGCTACGGAAGTCACTGTTTATCCAGGCATTATTGTTTTATCAATCTTTTCTATAAACGTTGAACGCGACAGTACAGCACAGTTTCTAAACATTTAATAGACAAATAAATACTCATATACAAGCTTATAATAAATAGACACACTGAGCATTAGAGTTAATGTGGTTCATGGATCGCTTCGTAGGGAAACATGATTCAAAGATCGAGAAACAACAAAAATGCACAAAAAGCGCTAAATAATCTATGTATTGGCAATATTTTGTTAAACATACTACATTATTTATACCGTAAATATTAAATAATGACAAAATACACGTCAAATAAATTCAATAATAGTCTGGAACCGAACTTTTTATTTTTGAATGTGTTATGGACGAAAAATGACCCTTACCAACCCACCTACTTTGTCACATTATTTTTTGTGTTATGCGTATCTGAGTTCCAAAAGTTAACAAAATATTTTGAAATTTGAGACAATGAGACTAAGAAGCTTTTATGACAAGCCATTTTTCAAGCATTTTCGAGTGACATATCTACTCGTATACTTACAGTAATTCTGAACGTTTTATAAGGAGACATGCGTGGTTTGGAATAGTTTCAGTAGCGATAATGAATCTTTCAAAAAAGTTTGAAAGATTGTTTTCCAAAATTACTTGTGACCCGAAAAACGAGAAGGAGAAGTCGGTGAATTTGGAAAGTCCCGTCTAACTCACACACAGTTTAATTAAAAATCTCAGATATTTTTGAAGATATGATATTCTCTTTTTGATAATTTTCATTTTTACATTGAGTAGTTGTGGCACGGAAAAGTGAAAAAAAGCTGGGAATGCAGAAATATCCTTACTTTGATGATAGGTAATTTGAGGTAATTTGATCACAATCATTACAAAATTTGGTGGAAGTGTATGTTAAACGTCACATTCGCCATTTTTTAAATTTTGCTGCTCTAACACTAGACCACTTGTCGCTAACCTTGTCAGTGTGTTGAGCTACTTTGATAATTTTGGAATAAACCGTGAGCTACCTAGTCGTACGCAATGTAAGCCATGTCACATACGATTGAATAACGGTAACTAAAAATAAAAAAAAGCAAAGCACTATTTTAAACAAAAACGTGTCCAGATGAAAAATGCGTGTTCAATGAGAAGCCTGACGCTCAGACTCACTGACAATTTTTTTAATGTTTGGAGTATAATTTGATACCGCCATTCGAATTCATTTATCCAAATGTTCATCTATAAGTCGATTACGGTATCTGTCTTTAACACACTTCATATTTGAAAAAGAAGATTCACACAAATCGGTCGCACTAAATAACGCTTTCACTTTCAAGGCAACACAACATAAAACTGAACATTTATTTTTACTTACTTTGAAACACAATCACTTCCATTCCTGTCGCAGCGATGTCTTCGCTAAAATTCTGCGTAACAGAAGTGCAAACTGTTGGATATCAATTTCTATGAAGGGTAAAACAATAAATTGTGCACTAAAGCAATTTCGTTGATATCTTTGAAACAATTTTTTTAAGTTATTCTTCAAGTTAGAGATCATTCCTACGTTTAAACTAATCGAGACCGTTCTCGAACAGATCGATTACCGCAGGGTTGCCGCTGCTTGTGTTTATTAAGAGAATTTACTAAATTTACGGAAGCTTATATGACTTTTACACCGTTTTAAAATATGGCGTGTGCCGCCAGAATAATTGCCTTTGCGAGCTACTGGTAGCTAGCGATCGACGGGTAGGCGACCACTGTACTAGGCACATACTTTGAAAATGAGATATTAGAGTCATAACGAAAAATCATGCTCAGATTTTGGTGGAATTTTCACATAGAGGCTTACTTCTAAATCTAGGGGCAAAAAATAAAAATCTCTCGACTTCGCATTCAATAATAATATTAACAGTAATAATTATTGAAAATAAAATAAGTGGTTGGGGTTATATGGTGTGGGGAGGGGATATTTCAATTTTTGGCGCTAATATATGGGTAAACTTTCAACTCTGGTTATTTTCCCGCACCAGTCAGACATATTTCATACATAGGTTTCTTCGTAAATTTACCATTAAGACTTACTGCATTAGGTACTTGAAATATTTCCTTTTTTGTAGGATGTGGGATATCGTCCACCCAGAACCAGGCAGCCCAAAGAAGAATCGTTGGCGGAGAAGAAGCGGGGTTTGGGACGTTTCCATGGCAAGCCTATATTAGGATAGGATCGTCAAGGTCAGAAAGCACATTTACCTAAATACAGGTTTGTTTGTCATTGTCAATAGACTGCCTATGAGCCTACACAAACTAATGGTGTCTTATACATTGTTCCCACATTTACTATGTAACCGAGATTTCTGTCAAGATTATGTTTGGTACGTAGTGTTTCAGTTTTTGAACTAGTGAATCGAACTGGCGCGTAATATAGTGAAGAGTATATTATCTGAATCCCCAAAAATCAGCAATCAGTACGAGATTCTACACAGGACTCAAATTTCGCATATGGGGTCAGGTGGTCATATACACAAATCAGAATGTGTTATTAAAGATCGTAGTTGCTGTTCACAAAGTTGACCTCCAAATGATGCCTGAGGTAAGGTCAGGCCATACCTGAGAATATCTATTCTTTCTTATTCCCTGAAGCTTCTGCTTGGACCACTCTTGAAAGGCAAATGCGCTTCAGTCAAGTTTTCGGAATGCTCGTAGATTGATCTACGAGTTTGCCCAATTCTGATTAGGATTTTGAGCATACTAGGAATCTGTTGTCAAAAACGGCAGTTGTAGTTTGAATTAATGAGGTTGACCTATGAATAACATCTGGGGTTATTACCTAGGTCGTACTTCCCTAAGAGTATTATTTTCAAAACGATAAGTGGTTTTTCAAGTTTTCGGAGCATTTGAGTACTTTTCAAATGTACAGCGCGACATAATGGTTTGACTACTTTTGACAACCTGATCTCATGTATGAACGTAATGTAGTATTTGTAGCTGATTACGGACCTGTTGCCAAAAGTGTCTGCTATTTGACCTTACGAAGTTAACCTTCAAAGGTCATTATCTAGGTTATATTAGAGGTGTGTAACAAAGACGCAAGAACAGTTTCAGAAACATAAACCAAATTGTGCCTTGTAGTGTAGCTTAAACTTGTTACACTTGATAGGGTGAATATCAGGTTTCCCATTGCGCTTTAAAAGTATTTTAAACAAGTCATGCAATCAGAATAATAACTTTGAAATGAAGCTGGTGAAAAAGTATGTTTTTCGAGTTCCTGTTTCTTCCGTAGTCAAAAAGAACTCACTGTGGTATGAAGGCTATATAATCGAAAATTGTTGCTGGTACAGTACTGTAGGTACTTTCAAGTTTCTGTTCCTTTTAGCACGTAGTTCATAAAATGTTGGGGTCAGAAAAAAAAAACAGAGTGCATCCCAATTCAATTTTATGTAAGATTGCAAGCTCGTGGTTATACTTGCGCTTACCAGAAAATATACTAGTTTATTGCCGCATACAATAAAATATTACGCTCAAATCGACAATTTTTCACTTTCCATCTAATGGTATCAAATTCCAAAACGACGATTTGTCAGGTTGTCATAAGCAATATATTCAAGTATTCTCCGGCGTCAACTCATTATAAAAAATGGTGAATGTGAGACGCAGTTGCATGCTTAAAATAGACGACCCATTCACCATTTTTAAAACACCCGAGGGTTATACTAGAGCTGTTTGAAATTTGATCACAATGTGGATGTGTTTTTCGGGCTTTCATTGTGTATAAGCTTTTTGTTTCACGACGGCGACGTTAAGAGTGATGTGATCTTTAATCTTCATCAGGTGAACTGGCGAACATGCTCATTTCTTGACTATTTATACCGTTTGATGATGTAGCTGGTGGTTGGCTGAGACGTGTCCCCGGTTGGTTGAGTTGTAGTTATTTGAGGTTTCTTATAATCGGTTGTCATAATGATTTAATTTCTACACTTAGATTACCATAAGCATTTTCATTCGTTATTATGAAGACCGCTTCTCTGAATTTGCTCTGATGCCAGAGTGTTTCTTTGTGATTATGCGTTGTTTTGTCCTAGCGTGATCTGCTATTCCAGATTTATTCGTTTCTCCCTGTTCCGTGTTGAATTTATTGTCTTTTATTCTTCCTAAGAGTGGTTATTTGGTTTCTCCTATGTCAATTTCTCCGCATTCACATGGTGCCTGGTATATATAATCCTTGGTTTTTTGGTTGTTGTTTACAGGATTTGTCTTTGTGAGGATAAGTGCAAAATGTGGTGATTCTTGAAAATCTAGTTTCGATTTGATTTCGTCTTCCTATTCTGCTAATTGCGTCACCGATTCCTTCATTGAGGTACGAAATCAACTCACTTTGCAGTATCCTCACAAAGACAAAACTTATGAACAAAAACGAAAACACCAAGGATTGTGTATACGAAGAACCATGTTAATGCGAAGAGATATACATAGGATAAACAAAATAATCACTCTCATTAAGAATAAAAGAGGATAAATCCAACACGGTACGGGGAGAAACAACTAAATCGGAAATAGCAGATTACGCTTGCATTAAACGGTATAAATAGTCACGGAAGGAGCATGTTCACCAGTTCACCTGATGACGATTGAGGATCACATCAATGGAAACGTCGTGAAGCAAAAAACTTTATAGACAACGCAAGTCCGAGAAACAACTGTCAACGGTATGATCATGTTAGACCCTATCGTATAACATTGTTCTCGGTTTGAATCATAAGTTCATACGATAACGTTCTAGTGAGTTACACATGCAGTGTGCCAAACCTGTACTATTGATAAATAATAGTCAGATATTAGATATTATTGGTGTGCTGTTAAACGGTGATGGATTCCTTATGTTTCACCAAGTGTAGATCACCGCATATCGAAGATTATAAAATGCTTATGGCCGGCATGTGGAGAAATTGTTGATAAATGATGATGATGTATGATAAATCATAGGGGCTTTTCTACCCGTAGTCGAGGGGCAGGTGCAGAGCTTACGTCTGTCCTTATATTTTCCGTCAGCTTGAACAAGGGACATTATTAGCCACCTATAGGAGTACATGAAAAATCAGATCACGCAATCCAAATCTTGATCGTTTGGCCGCCATATTTGAAAAAGTCCGTCAAGTAGTAAAACGGTTATTCAACATATCCTCGTAACCACTGGGCGAATCTAACTTATTAAAGCTCATTTTACTTCTTTATTAACGAGATTCATATTTTTTATAATTACAAGTTTTTAAATAACCCAGTAGTTTTCAGATATACTAAGCTGTCCAACGCTTATCACTTTGTACATATATTGAAAAACTACTACTTTAAAAGGGAAAATGCTTGAGTAAAAACCCGTTTCGAACAGTTAAAAGAATTATGTTTGCAAATAATTAAGACAATCTTCGCTAATCTTGAAACAACATTGGAATAACGTTGTGCATCTTAAGGTTGACGACCAGCCTTTAAGTTTACGTGTTTGAATACAGATCATCATTTAAGCTCATAAGGCAATATATCAAAACCCAGATCACGTGATAGAAATCATGGTTGTTTGAACATCATATTCAAGAATGGCCCTCAAGTTGTACAACAGTTGACAACAGTTCTTCGTAACCACTGGATCGGTTTTGACCAAATTCAATTATTCAATGTTCTATATGCATAAAGAAATATTTTACGATTTGTGAACATTTTTTTAAGCACTTCTGTATACATTTTGAGAACTTGAATGATACATTTTATGAACTGAAGCACATATCAGTGCACATATAATCATACATCCTTTAGTCTTTGAAAAAATATACTATCTTTAGGATTAGTAAATATAATACTTTTAACTGTTCCACACTGGTTTCAGCTGTATCAAAATAGCGACCAGGCGACCACGATTTATATCGGGTGACCTGATTTCGTATGTGCTTTATTCCGGAGGTGCCATTCAAACTATAGGAAGCATAAGGGAACACGTAACCTCAGTGGTTGCTCCTAGACTATCGAAAAGTACGGGTAATTGGAGATACTTTTGAGGAGAATCAAAAAATTCCATACATATTGTCGAATCACTTTAGAGTGATTTTGTAATAGATGCTTCTAGGGTGAGATCAATATTTTCAGTAGTTTATACAGGTACCTTTACACTTATAGGTGCGGCGGCTCCCTAGTTAGTCGACGGCATGTTGTGACCGCAGGTCACTGTGTGGCGCGAGCGTCTCCTCGGCAGGTCCACGTTACCCTTGGAGATTACGTCATCAACTCTGCAGTGGAACCATTGCCGGCGTATACGTTTGGAGTTTCCAGCATACAGGTAAATAAAATGCACGAGTAGAGCAACAATCCTAGTAAACACGAATGTATTGTTTTATGAAAATTCGCCAAACCAAGGGCGGTTCACCTATAAACCGCTGTGTTCTTGTTGTAAACCCATTTCAAAGACATTCCAGACAGTGTCCTCTCTTCTAATAACTGCTCTTTGGTATGATTAATTACTGATAGCAGGTAGTGTTTCGAGCTTTTTTTCTTTTCTGAGGCGCAATCATGTCCTAGTTGAATTGCCCAAATATGCAATTTTATATAATAAAAGTAGCGCTGATTGCCCAAAAGGTACAGAATTGATCTCTATTGCTTCTTTTAGGTTCAAAAGCCGTGGGCTGGAGTTTACATTCCTAAAGCTTCTGGCTACAACTGCGGTAGCCATCTTCAGTAGCGCTACAATCGAGGTCTGAGTCGCCAACGAGCCACCGCGTCGAACGTTTTTACCTCGACTGGAGCGCCGCAGACGATGACTCCCGCAGTTGTAGCAGAAAGCTTTGGAAATGTAAACTCCAGCTCACGGCTTTAAGCCCGAAAGAAGCAACAAAGAGCATTGAAACCGGCCGTGAAGATCTACGTGTACTAATTAGATACAGAATTCCTTTACAGAGCAATATGAAATAAATACTATACTATCCACAGGTATTTTGTATATTATAATGTGGACACATTACTGATAATGGTGATTTCAACATTAGATTTGTCCTAACAGCAGTAGAATGAAGTGTTAATGATTGTCTAGAGTTAAACTGCGGTAGGTGCACTAATACGCGACAAGAGACCTGGACAATCAATAACAACAATTTATAAAGGAATAAAAGGGATGACAGTGTCCGTCTGAGCTCCAAACAGTCAATGCCAAAAAGGTTGTTCTGGATATATCTGATGCTTTTTAAGCACTGTATATTTCAAAAGCATCCATAAAAATAGACATTTCAATGCTGCTTCACTATTGAGGGATAGACAATTTTTAACCACGAATCGATTTTGTATGTTTAGGCAGTCTTGTTATCAATATGATTAATGAAACTCATTTGCGAATCGAATAATGCTCCTAGGTCTTTAGTCGTTAAATGACGCCCCTAAAAATACCGTTGTAATCAAATAAGATTGTTGCTTTTCTTCCTAGAGAAAGTGACTACATTTGGCAACATTCAGTGACAATCCTATATTACTCGTAGCACATCCTAAGTAGACCTTGTTCAGCATGACCTGTAACATACTACAATCTTCTATAGCAGTTATATTACATGTACTTCAAGTCCATTAGCATAAAGCAATGTTCTGGTTTCATTTATATTATCTAAATCATTAATTAGCATATTAAGTGGTAGTGGGCATAAGTTTGATCCTTGCGGAACACCTGAGTTTACGCTATTTGTGTGAGAATTGTACCCACTATAGTATACATACTGTGATCTTTTGCATAACTGAGATTTACAAAATTATATCAAATCCATCGAAAAACCGGAATTACCAAGTTTTTTAAGGAGAATTTCATGATCCACTCTACCAAAAGCTTTCGAAAAGTCAGTGTAGATTACATCTACTTGACCACGCTGATCCGATTCTGCTTTTGTAAAAAGTACCATATTAGTTTCTGTAGATCTTTTACTCATGAATCCATGTTAAGACGGAATGATACTAGTACTGAGTGCAGGGTATATGCGATTAATTTAACTTGTGAAACTAATCTTGTGGCTTTTATGTCGATAATCACCCATGTTTATCTGGCCAATGAAACCATATATATATACAGGGTGACTTTGAAGTTGAGTCATTAATTTTCAGATAATGATTGTAGAAGGACGATAAACCAAAATATGTGTGTAAAAATAAAAAATAAATAAAAAAAAATGTTACCTTGTTTTATAAAGTATCCTCCCGACAAGTATTTCAGTGCGGACCTATTTGATCGTGTGGTCTTCGAGCACCGGCATGCCCTCCCCTGTGAGGTCTTAAGTCACCTGATTCACGAGCCCTTTGTACTACATTCAGTATTTTCGTAAACATGTGCCATTTTTTATTTCGTTTGAGCCACGCAACAAACACCACTATTCAGTCACGCGTTACCGACTGACACATTGACTAAATACAACTGAATAAAATTGTACGTTGTAGTAAAAACATCGTTTCAAATTTTTTCGCTTTTTTGTTTCCGATGCGATAAACGGATAAGGCGGATTATATCCGTTGTTGCCAAACACGAGCACATAATATTATTATTGAGACAGGACGGTACTCAAACTTCTAAAGGGCTATAACTTTGGTACTTTAATTTTACCAGAAAAATGTTAAAGGGAAAAACATTTCTTTTGATCAGATCTACTCACTGTTAAAATAAATGACTCAACTTCGAAGTCACCCTGTATATATATATATATATATATATATATATATTTCAATGACAAAATATATCTCATTGTACTTAAAAATGTCACTTTTGTTTTTGAAATATTTACTACACTGAAGAAGAATTTCAAATATAATATGTGGTTTCATTGGCTAGACAAACATGCGGGATTATTCAAATGTTTACCGCTGCAACAGTAACGATACAGAAGTCCAAACTTCCAATAAGTCTCCCGCAGGAATTTCACTAAAGTCGAGCAATGAAATGGGTAATGCTGACTCTAAAAGCATCCATTGTTGTGGCTTTTAGACACAGATTTGCGACTTAAAAAAAAAACTTAAAAGAAAATGTCTATTACGGGATCCGACCTCACGCTCTTGCCCGTTATCGCTATCATCGATGGCTTTATGCAGTATGTCCATTGGGACTTATCTGTGCGATACGTAGCTCTGTTCTGCTGGAGCCGTATGCACACATCGTTCATGTTGATCTAAAAAACTTATTCATCACCGATCTGTAGCCCTTGTTATTTTTTGCAAAAAAAATCCATAGCTCTGATCCTATCAAGTCTAACGTAACACAAGCCACCTCACAGATTCAGCTGGATCTATGCGGCAGAAAAATTAAGATTTTGGATCCGTCCTGCTTTGCCTTGACCGTATGTATATTTTTTTACAACGAAGCAGTCGGACAGGTAGAGTCCCAGACACCGCGGCTGCGATGAGGAGCTTAATGAAACTTTCTCTATCCGATTTTTGAACTGTCTAAGGTTAGTAGAACTGGGAAAAGCCTCTGTGTAGATTGTTCTACAATCCCGGTACCCTAGGGACAAAGGTGCGGTCGTATCGGCCAGTTTTGGATGTACGACGATGATGGAAGGATGAAGTCTAGCTGGTCTGTCTGGCAGGCACAAAAGCCCGTTAGCGCAGCGGTAGAAAAGAGGTAGATTTTCGACAGCCCACCGACAGGAAAGGGTCCCGAGACTGTCCGTTGGAGACGAGTCATCGATCATTTGGACAGCCCGCCTCTGCACAGCATCGAGCATGAATGTAGTCTGGGCGGCAGTACCCCAAACATGTGAGGAGTACCAGAAGCTGTTTTATCTGGGCCTCTTACAGAGTAAGGAAGTTATGTGGAAAAAAGTACTTCTCAGCCCTAAACAAATAGCTTAGCTTTTTGTCAGCAGCTTTTTCTATTGACGGAATGTGTTCGTGCCCGATCCAGTCCTCGGTGATCTGGGCTCCGATCAGCCAAAACGAATGGCTGTTTGATGAATGATGTCACATATACGGACGATCAACCACTTACACCACCGTTTCCGGATACTTGGTCGATAATTATACTGACAGAAAAAATAACACCCAGTAATAATAAATTTATACTCAAATTTTCTAGTTATGAATATATTTGTCCTATTTGTGAAACAGATACCCGGTTCTGTAATGGTCGTCAGATCACATTTGATCGATGTCGTCTCTCTATTGCGTAGGATTGACAGAATTATTAAAGGAAAGGGGCATCACAAAATTCCTGTTCACCAAGATATTCTCGCGGGGAGAGGGCGTACAGGAACACGATTCGTTATATAATCAAGAAATCAAACAGTAACACTCATTCACGATGTGAAAGAATTATGTGTCCAAAAAACAACAGGAAATCACATTCCAGACCGCGGAGCTCCCAGTTCAGTTTTCCGAATCTTCAATTTTCTTTGAGAGGAACTAGATCGACGATTCATAGAACAGTATCCATCAAATAAATAATACACTGAAACAATTTGGAAAATATGTAAAAGTAGCTTAAAACATCTGCCTGCGGAGAGCATGACCATAATGCTAAAAACTGTGGCAAGTACGTATCTTGTGAATGAGAACAGGATCTCTTTACTGGCAACATGTTTGAATGGTTTATCGAGTTTATTTTGAGGCACAAGTGTAATTCGGAAGAACATTTCCCGAGTTGAAAGAGTAAAAGTATGTATTAAGTTCGAAATACTATTTAAATTTACATTAAGTTAGATTCCACACAGTCTTCACAGTCTTTATAATCCTCACCGTTTTTCTTTTTCATGTTGTAGGGAATATTTGCCTCTGGTAAAATTCTCCATATATACTGATAGTTCAGTATTTTATTTTTAGATTTACTTTTGAATTAAACTCAAAGTATCGTTTACGAAACGTGACATTACAACCGTATCGGTTTGTTCTTATAGTGGTCAGTGACAGTGTCTGGGATCCAGCCTTGTAAATTCTGTCTATACAGGGTGTTTTACAGCACACACATATGCACTGTTATGAAAGAAGTTGATTTCTCAAAAAACAAATGTAATAAAAGTCCTACAGAAATCGAGATAATAAGATAATACAGTTTAAGAGTTCACTTAGGTACTTATGAAAGCTGTTCAAAATTGTTGCCGTTGACTGCAATGCAGGCATGGGCGCGTTTAATCCAATTTCGGCGCACTAATTCAAATAAACCTCCTTCCTGCTATGCCTGAAGGCTCAAATTATCGGCAGCTACTGTGATTCTTCAATATTCTGAACTGGAGTACGGTATACCTCATTTTCCAAGTATCCTCATAAAAAGAAGTCAACAGGACTTAGACCGGGAGACCGTGGAGGCTATGCAATTGGTCCACCCCTTCAGATCCAGCGTATCTGGAATGTCTGATTAAAAAAATCACGAACATCTAAACGAAAATGCGGAGGTGCCCCATCGTGCACAAACCACATCTCGTACCGCCAAAGGCACATCTTCAAGAAGGCCCGGCAAATCATTCCGAAGAAATTCCAAATACTGGTGACCATCCATCCGATCTGGCAATATGAACGGTCCAATTAGACGTCTATCGACAATACCTGCCCACACATTTGAAGAAAAATGATGTTGTAGGTGTGTCTGTGTGTGTGTGTGAGGATTGGTTATTATCCCATTAGGAGTAAAAATAGCTTCATTGGTGTGGCCAAAATTTCATCTGTAAAACGGGCATTTCGAGCATTTTCTTACAACAACCACTCACAAAAACTTACTCTAAAGGGGTAGACTGTAGGTAGCAACGCCTCGACTCTCTGGGCGTGATAAGGGTACCTTTGGGCCTCATGTAATATGCGCCACGCTGTTGCTTGTGACACTTGTGGGACCTGTTGGGCTAACTGCATTGTGCTTATTCTCGGATTTTCTTCTACAATATCCAAAATTTCGTCTTTGGCATTTAAAACGCATTGTGGGCGACCCCGACCCCCATACACTCCACGTCTGTAGCGCAAATCTCCATTCGTTCACGTAAAGCAGTTGAACTAAATGATTCGTGATGTGGTATGCGCCTATTCCGAAATCGATTTGCCTACGAACGGGAAGCCGCTCGCGAATTTTGCCCTGCTTATCCATTCGCGAAAACAATGCCCACTAACTCCTTATGAGTGTACACATGTGCCATTTTTAATAATAAATAACTAAACATATGAACTCGCAAAACACTTTCTTATTTAACTTCACAAAAATCGACCGTTCTTTATTCATATCACCCACGATACAGATTAAACCTTATTTTGTTTTCGTCAGTTGTTTGGTAAAACATTTGCTACAATAAATTATTAATGCGTGTTCTAATATCACGACGATGAACGCAAAATACAGATATTTGTGTTTCGATTTATTATTGAAGCTCAGGCTTATAACTTAATTTCTGGAGGACTTTTGTTACATTTTTTTTTTAGAAATCAACTTCTTTTGTAACAGTGCATACGTGGTTAAAATTAATAAGTTGTGAAACACCCTGTATAGTGTAGCAGAATAAATGGAATTTGTGTTGAGTCTTGGACACGATCACTGTCAGGTTGGCGATAGCTGTACGAACAGGGCTTTAAAATTGGATATTTACGTATGTCACGATGGCGAAAGCACATTTCATCAATCGTAACTATAGATACGGTCTATAGAGAAATTTTCGGTACCTACTGGATCATTTTCTCTGAAAATTTTCCGTGGGAGATCGCGATCGCGAGATTTTGCGATAATTCAGCAGCTCTTATGGCATTTTTTATATATGAGAGAAATATTCACCAAAAATATGTTACATTAAACTTGTGTCGTAAAAGCGTTTCCTGTTATTATTTGACATACACATCATCACCCTAGGGAGTAATAAAAACAATCATATCATATTTGAACATTATTTCTTTGTAGAACTCTTCTGTTTTGTCTATGTTTGAAGTATCGTTCGCAAAGTGTCCCGCACGGGTATTACGTATCTTGAAAAGTGACATTTTGTCGATTTTTCTTTGAGATTGTATTGGTTTTTTGTAACAAGATGTTAACTTAGCTCTAGCTGATGGACACGTGGTGAACTCGTTTTGTAGTTGTACGTGTTGCCTAAACGTCATCATGCTTCAGTTATGAATGTTTAGCTCTGATGTAAAATCTGCTTCGGAGATGGCATTACTGGAGATCAAAGCTGTAAGTTGTATACGCAGGAAACGGCAATGCATAGCTGAATAGTGAGAATTTGTATACTAATAATATGTGTTGATGATAATTCCATTGGATCCTTGTATTAAATACGAGGGTGGTTCAATAAGTACCCGTGCCAGAAATGAAGACACCATTTTTTCCAAAAAAATTCCTTATAGTTTTCAACATAATTTCCTTTTAGAAAGGTACAGTTTTTCCAACGTTCCTGCCATTTCTTTAACCCCCCCAAAAAATAGGATTTGTCGAACTCTCCAAAATACGCCTCTGCCTCGGCGATGACTTCCTCGTTTTGGCTATTTTTTTCCCCGCGAGCCATTTCTTCATGCCAGGAAACAAGAAGAAGTCGCAGGGGGCCAGATCGGGTAAATACGGGGGGTGCAGTAGCACTTCATAACGCAATTCATGCAGTTTTTCCGCGTCAACTCCGGATGAATGTGCTGGTCCGTTATCGTGATGAACCAGCACCTTTTTTTCGTCAAGTGTTGCCGCGTCTCCTTCAATTTTGCAGTATTGTCCAGTGATCGTTCTTCCTTTTTCTAAACAATCCACGAGGATGACGCCATTCGCATCCCAAAAAATCGTCGGCATAACCTTTCCGGACGATAGGACCGTCTTCGTCTTCTTTGGAGCAGATGCACGTGGCTTAACTGCACACAACGCTGGCCCGGTGGTGATTTTTCCTAGTACGCCTCAAAGTTTTTAAAGACATAAATTAAATTTCCTCACACAGCAAATATCACTGACTTTATACGTATGCAGACCAATACACATAATCATCTAGATGCAATCTTGGTAATCAACCAACTCTCTTCTCAAAGATGAAAACAGACTACTCGGCTTCACAAAATATATGCAACCAACAATACGTACATTTGAGTCATTCCTCCATAGATGGACGTTCTCAGCGGTCATAGCGAGCAAACGTGGAATTAACTATTTGCATCCTAAAAACTACCTAGTATGTAAGATGGCACTTTATTGTTTTTTTATCGTTTTATATCTCATGAACGGTAGTCTTAATACACATCTCCTTCATGCCATAGACGCAAACCGTTTATTCATAAAAATTATTGAGATACATTGTCAACCAAGTTCTTTTTACCTAAAATGCCAGGACTACGAAAACCATGTTGCTCTGCTTGTAAGATAAACGTGAGGGTAATTCGCCCACACACTCTTTTGAAGTTATCCGTCTGGTGAATTCCCACTGGCCAAACGTGTGGGATACATCCAGCCTCCGGCTGTTAATCAGCAGAGCGTTTGCGGTCTAAGGAATCACTTACCTCTGATGCTTGCAGATGCAACGCTATACAAACAACTAGATCATAGCATCATGTTTGAATGAGCTGTTTGCATTATAATCGTAATTATCTCACATCCATGCTACCTACCATCGTAGTAGATAATGCTTCAAGGTAAATTTCAGTATTCACTTATTAGTTTGTTTAAATTGGATCTGACGGTGAGTAGTTGGTAACATTTCAACCTCAATAATTAGCGCTCTATTGTATGAAAAAAAGTTCGTCACGTAGGTATACAGAGTGCTCAAAAATAGACGGAGATATTTTAGAGAGTGATTCCTTGATGAAAAATATGAAAAAAAGTTTTTATATACAGGGCAAAAATTTAAACAATTTTTTCTTTTACTATTTTAATTATAATTGTTTTTCGATGCACTAGTGATATTTTTTAGCAAAATTAATAAACTAATCTTGTCCGGTGTCATGCAACAAAACGGTTATTTTTTTCTGGAAAACGAAGTTAGATACGAAAGATAAAAGACAAAGAAGTTGTGTTTTCAGATTCTTAATCAAACAACAAATATTAAAGTTACAAAAAAGCAGTGGCGTACATTTTTTGCCAATTATACTCGCTAAGGTGCCTCGGGACGCTACTAATAATTTTAATCTACGAGGGATGTCATTTAAGTTTTGCATATAGAAACATAGTAGGCCGCGCGGATCGAACGTCAGTACTGAATCTTAACCACACTCTTTAGTAAACTTAAATTCAAAGTTTCATAACAATACGTGCAGTGTTCTCACTACAGTGAATTTTTAAGTGTCACCAAGTCATTAGAAAAAAGGAACTCAACCGAGAACATTTTTGCGCAATAATTTATTACAACTTTCAGAGACAATTATCGCAACAAGAATGCCTTGCTGAGTTACTGTCCGTTTTCGGCAACGGAGCGCCACATCAGTCGACAATTTCCCGTTGATATGGTGGAGGTGAGTCTTAGCAACGATTCCAGCGTGGGTGCACCAAAAACGGCAGTCACCCATAAAAACGTCGATGCTGTGCGCAAACTCATCATTGAAGATAGACATGTCACATACCGCGAGATTGAGGCGTCCTTGAAGACCTCAAAGACCTCAATTCAAAAAATTTTACATGAAGAATTAGGAGTAAGAAAATTAGTTTCTCGTTGGATACCCCACCTGTTGACTGAAGAGCAGAAAGCAGCCAGGGTTAATTGGCGTCAAAAAACGGTTGACCGTTTCAATTCGGGAAACTCAAAAAATGCGTACAGCATTGTTAGTTGTGATGAATCGTGGACTTACTGTTATGAACCGGAAAATAAATGACAGTCGGGTGTTCCAAGGTAAAGAAAAGCCAACAAAAGTCATCCGTTCTCGAAGTGGTTCGGAAAAGATGGTCGCGACATTCGTGTCAAAAGCGGGTCATATTGCAACAATTCCTGTTAATGAGCAAAGAACTGTTACTGCGGATTTTTATACCACCATTTGTTTGCCAAAAGTCATCAGCAAGGTTCTAAAAATCAACCCCGAAAGAAGAATCATCCTCCACCAAGAGAATCCAAGCTCGCACACAGCCCAAAAAGCAAGGCAGTATTTAACGGAAGAAAACGTGGAATTATTGGACCATCCTCCATATAGTCCCGATCTAAGTTCTAACGATTTCTTCACTTTCCCGAAAATTAAAAACAGACTGCGTAGTCAAAGGTTCCAGTCACCAAAAGAAGCAGGTGACGCATTCAAAAATGCCGTTTTGGATCTGCCAGCAAACAAGTGGAATAAGTGTTTCGAAAATTGGTTCGAGCGCATGCAGATGCGTATTAATCTTCCTGGAGAATACTTCAAAAAACAATAAAGTCATTTAAAACTACCTACCGTGTTGTTTTATTTCCATATGCAAAACTTAAAAGACATCCCTCGTATTTAGGGCTAAATACATCACGAAAATAATATTGCCAAATTTCAACAGAATCGAGTATATGTATATGTTTTTATATGTTTTTAAGATATTAATGAAAAAAAGAAATATTTTTTTCATCACCCTGTATCTTAAAATAAACTGCATTTCCGGGCCCACGTTTATAAAATCTTTTTTTCATATTTTTTTGACAAGAAATCACCGTATACATACTCCCGTCCGTTTTTTGAACACCCTGTATTGGTCTTGAATCGGAGATACGGCCGAAACTTCTCAATATCATTTTAGAATACAACAAAAATTCAAGTGCAATCGTGCAACTACTTTTTAATTCACCGTAAAGATGTTAGAGAAGCAACGTAGGCGCAAACGCTATCCGGTAAAGCACATTACGTATACGTTATGTTAATCGGTTGTGGATACTTTTCGCAATAGCATGAGAAATAACGTTGACATAACCTTAAATTTGTGACCTTAAAGCTGTACCCTACAACGCTACAACCTCAATACTTTGGCTGTAAAGGTGTCTTTGATGAAATGGATGTACAAGAACTTCTTGATTTGGCCGCTATAGGGGCAGTGAACAACGAGGAGCTGGAGACTGGGATTTTGCACAGCATTCTCAACAGACAAGTTTCCCGTTCGCTTGACTTCTTTCGCAGTACACATAATACAAACTTTATGAATAAAAATGAAAAAAAAAATTTCCACAGGCCAACCGATTTTTTTTTCAAATTATACAAATCACCCATTAACGGCACCTAACCTCAAATCATAAAGATCATCGCCCGATTGGTTCCGGGTATCCACGAAACGATCATATAGCGCCTCGCGCTAAGTGTTCTCAAATTACGCTAGGCGGTAACGTAATTAGTGCCCGCTATCATGAAACCCACAACTGAGCATGCGTATCTGTCAAAATAACGTGCCTATAAAATGCCGCAGCACGTTAAGTGGCATGCGAAAACTCCCTATTGATAGTTGAACGTTAGACAGAATGCCAATTTACCGGTACCACGTGAGGGAATTAAGTAAAAACAGTACTGACTGAACTTGAATTCCGAAGTCCAAAAAAAGCAAGGAGGACAGACTAGTTTCGTCGTGGCACTAAATGATTTCCTGAATAGTTGCTATACGTGCAAAGCAGATTTCATCCAGTTGCTCAATCGGCTAGTTTTTTTTGCACTGGGCTCTTGGTCCACTACTCAATGTTCCAAGTCTCAGAAAATACGTTATGGCAGCCTTAGGACCTTGGGACAATGACGAGTGGTTGGACTCAATTCCTTAACTTCCTTAATGTCATAGCACCAACTAATTTCGGATTTGAAATCAGCGACCCAAAAAACCCTGCTCTATCGTTTAAATACCATATAAATTGTATTTATTGCGAGATTTTCGATGTTCTGGGCGACTGTACTGTTACCTTTTATGCATCATCAGCAAAAATGCGCTAGGTTTATGATACAGTTATTATATGATACGATATAGTGAGCAAAAACTTTAGGGGAAAAGTAGATTTTCAATTTATGTATCAACGATGTTTTCAATTTAAATAGTGAATGCAAAATTATCGGTTTCGCTGACGACACAGCAGTCATATATACAAGTAATAATTGGTCCACCTTAAAATCTAAAATAAAACACGATTTCACAGCACTTATATAATTTTACTCAGATAGAACTATGACTTTAAATTATAAAAAACATACCACTCTTGTGGCGAAAAACTCCAATTTACAGTAAAACCAGTAAAAACAACAAAATTAAATACTTGGGTTTAATACTGTACATATTTTAAAGTGGAAGGCGCTAAACTTTTCAATAATTTTACGGCATTAATAAAGGTTAGTGAGACATCGATTAAAAAAAATCTTAAGTTCATTTTCCATAGCCAGGTGCACCCCCTGTTCAAATTCACCCCATGAGCAGACCGCTTCGACGTGGCCGTACTCCGTCTGGACTCAATTCCTCAACTTCTTTAATCTCATAATACAAACTAATTTCGGATTTGAAATCAGCTACCCAAAAAACCCTGCTCTATCGCATAAATACCACAGAAATTGTATTTATTGCCAGATTTTCGATGTTCTGGGTGACTGTACAATGTTACCCTCTATGCATCATCAGCAAAAATGCGCTAGGTTTAGTCAACTATTATGTGATACGATATAGTGATCAAAAACTTTAGGGGAAAAGTAGCTTTTCAATTTATCAACGATGTTTTTAATTAAGATAGTGAAGACGAAATTATCGGTATCGCTGACGACACAGCAGTTATCTATACAAGTAATAATTAAAATCTAAAATAAAACACGATTTTACAACAGTTATAATATTTTATTCAGACAGAACTATCACTTTAAATTAGAAAAGGACATACTTCATACTCGTGTTACGTGTCACAAAATCAAATATACTAAGTGACATATAAATCCGAACACCCAGTTTAAATGGTTTTATTTTAATAAAAGATGGTGAATGTATTTATCTTACTGTAAATAACAAGTGAAAAAATTTTCAGCCTTATCAGTTGGACATTCCGGTTTTTATACTGCTTTTTTTTAATTCACTAACGCTCTAAAAATGAATATTTCAGCCGCAGTAAAGAATCAACGTTGCCGGATTTTGGTTCTTGACATCCTTTACGATCGGTTACGATGCCTAGAGTACGGAGACCTGTACGATTTCGTCAACTTAGTGAGTTTGATAGGGGCCGTATAGTGGGACTTCGGGAAGCTGGACTTTATTTTCGGGCAATTGCAGTTAGAGTGTAAAGAAGTGTAGACACTGTGGTTAAGTGTTGTCAGGCATGGCATCGAGAAGGCCGTACGCAAAGAGCAAGGGGCACTGGGACGCCGCCGTAGAACAACAGACCGTGAAGATCGCCGCCTAAGATTATTGGCCTTAAGGGACCGTTTCTACACTACCAGGTCCATTGCAAATGAATGGTTTGCAGAACACGGAAGACCTATTGGCTAGTGTTTACCGACGAATGAGAAGTTTTGGCTTCTTTTCATACCGGCCACACTGGGTCCTTTCCAACAAGATAATGCCCGACCACATGTTGCAAGAGTCACAATAGACTTCTTTCAACATAATGATGTCACATTGTTACCATGGCCACCAAGATCTCCCGACTTATCCCCAATTGAGCACGTGTGGGATATGATGGGTAGGAGATTGCTCAATTTGCAACGTCCTCCTCAGACTCTAAAAGCACTTCGAGAGGAGTTCGTGGTTGCCTGGAATGAGATACCACAGGAGGACATTGACCACCTGATCAGAAGCATGCCTAGGCGCGTTTGAGAATGCGTAGCACATCAGGGTGCATCCACACATTATTAAAGGTCAAAGGACTTTAAAGCAGTGCAATCATTTTGAAATTTTTATCATTTACTTATTATGCTTCATTAAGTACTTATACAAAATTTTATTAAAATAAAACCATTTAAACTGGTTGTTCGGATTTATAATATGTCACTTAGTATACTTGGCCTTAATACTAGACAAAAACTTAAAGTGGAGCGCGCACAAGGATTTTAGTGATTTTTTTTTGTGCAAGCCTATATATTCTCTACCGCTATGGTGCATCTGAATCGTATCAATCGGTATTTGAGCGAAAATTTACAAAACATCAGTAGCCAAAGATCTCTTCTTTTTTTAGGCCCAAAATTTTTCAATAATTTTACGGCATTAATAAAGGTTAGTAAAGCATCAAAACGATTTTAAAAAAAAATCAAGTCATGGATTATACAGCAACCAAGCGAATTCAACCCAGAAACTTCAGAACATTAAAAATCAATATTGCACTCAAAGCAGTTTATGTGTATTATGCGCGTATTTATTTTTGAACTTCATTGATGGTGAAATATTCTACGCACTACCAGTTTAATATCTAAAAATTGTTTGAATAATTTTGCCAAATCTTACACCTAGAAAAATATAAATTTATCGTGACACGTGCATTATTTAACGTTGGTGTACTTACCCATTTGTGTCTTTTTTTCATTTTGATGTGAACCCAAGCATACAGTCAAAATCCTTTGAGTATTTTATGTTTATTGTATAGATGACGATATTTTAATAAAATACTTCTATAAGCAACTTATCTAGTGCATATTTTAAAATTATTTTGATATATACAAGGTGTCTCATAACTTCGTACCATAGGAAACATATTTTCTTTAAATAGAACACTCTATTTTATTGCGGATTTGAAAAGAGCTTCTAAAAACAAGAAATTTCATATCACATGATACATGTTTCCGATTATCAGTTATTTCGATACTTGGTCAAACGGCTAGAAGAAGAATGCCCCGCTTTGACAGCTCGCGGCTCTCCAGTTTTTGAAGATATTTAGATGAATCTTGGCTCCCAAAAATTTCACCAACAAATAATTGATGATCGAAAACATATGCTATGTGATATCAAATTTCTTGTTCTTAGAAGCCCTATTCAAATATGAAATAAAATACAGTGTAATCTATTTAAAATGTTGCTTGCTATACGAAGTTATGGAACACCCTGTATATATTTCAGTAATTTTGCCATATGCAGTAGTAACATATCAAGGTTGCTACGAAAACGATTTTTGATTTTCCAGTTTGCTCATGAAACTACTTTCCATTTTCGTTGGGAAACCGTGTAGGTATACTTTATGCCATTTTCTATATGCAGGTTCACCCCCTGTTCAAATTCACCCCTCAAGCAGACCGATTCGACGTGGCCGTACTCCGTCTGGACCGAGCGGCACGCGATCTGCCTCACGTGGCGCCCATTTGCCTGCCAGGAGGCAGCACTGCCGGGGCGACCATCACAGGGGCGCCAACGTCCGTGGGGGGCTTGGTGGGCGAAGCAGCTGTGGCGGCAGGATGGGGGGCGTTGAGTCCTGGGTCCAGGTTGCGGCCGCAGACGCTGCAGGCTGTCAGGGTGCCGGTGATCGACAACCGGCAGTGTGAACGGTGGCACAGGTCGGTGTTTAGTTAGGTGTATCAGTAAGGTCTTTCCAACAATGAATTTCTTGCAGTCCAGCAGGGGTTAGCGTATCTTGAAAAGTGACATTATGTCGTCTTTTGACATTATACGGTATGTTCCTTAATGATATGCGAATATTTAAGGGTGTGAATCTACATGAATAATTAATGTTTATAAGCTATGGTCCAAAAACGTTTCCTCACAAAAACTCTGGGTGTTGAGGTTTTAGGAAAAAAATGGAAATTAATTAATATTTTCAGAACCGCTTCAGATATTTCACTGATATTTAGTAAGTAGTGACAGTTAACAAAGCTGCATATTTTTCAATGCAAAACCAACTTTTAGCTTTAACAGTGGCGTGCGTACGGTTATTGACTTCGATCTTTTTTGAGAAAAAATGGTACGCCAATGGTTCTTTGCCGAATAATAATTATTTTTGAATTTAAGACAAATGATCTCTCTTGAATTGTTTTCCTTGGATGCGCCATTTTTGAGTTAAAAAATAAAAACCATTCTATTGTTAAAATTAACGTAATAATTGAATAATGCAATTTAGCAATAAATATCTAGTTGCTCAGGAATATGTCGCTGGCTTTTGACATCTGACAAGTCTCTGTTATTCAAATCTGTTCGCTGTGACATCCTTTTCATTATTTAGTTTTTACAATCTAGTTAATAATGGTGAAATATTCAAATGCAGAAATGGCGGAAATGCATTACGTATGTTATATGGCCTTGGCGACGGTAATGGTGAGCAAGCCAGACGGATTTATCACCAGAGATATCTCGATCGTGCTTTGCCAGATAGCCGAACCTTTTCTAATATTCATCGTCGTCTTGTTGAAACTGGTTCTGTCCGAAAAGGAACATCTGAAAGTAGATCTCTAAGCGTGAGAATACCTGAACTTGAGGAACCAGTGCTGCACGAAGTCGAAGAACATCCTGAATCGAGTATGAGGAAGATCGCTAGACACTTAAATATTTGCCATCAAATTGTTTGGAGAATTTTAGTCGATTTTTTGTTATATCCTTACCATATTTTAAGAGTACATGCATTACTTCTCATTTATTTTCCAAGGCGTGTGACCTTTTGTTAGTGGTATTTTCAAAAAATTACACAAAATCCGCAATTTGAATCAATGGTTCACGGACGAAGCTAGTTTTATAGTTTTTCTCGAAATGCCATTCAGAATTTCCACATCATTTGTGGGCAGAAGAAAATGCCGTAACCGAAACCCATTTCCAACACTAATTTTCGGTTAACGTATGGGCAGGAATTATTGGCAACCACTTTATTGGCCCATTCTTCTTGCTAGGACGACTTGACGGACAGACTTACCTCAATTTTCTTCAACAAAAGTTGCCTTTGCTGCTTGATAGCGTTCCGTTAGTAATAAGAAACAATATGTGGTACATGCATGATGATTCACCAGAGCATTTCAGTGTAGCGGTTCGTATTATTCACAAACTGTTTATCCAAATCATTGGATTGGCCCCGGTGGGCCCAAAGAATGGCCACCAAGGTCCCCAGACCTCAACAGTTTAGATTTCTTTTTGTGGGGCTATCTTAAGACACTAGTGTACACAAGTCTCATTAACACTGTAGAGGAATTAAGAGAAAGAATAGTTGCAGCTTGTGATAGAATAGAAAACACTCCAGGGATATTTCAACGAGTGCGCAAGTCCATGAGAAGGAGGGCGGAAGCATGCATACTAAGTGAAGGTGGCCATTTTCAACCATTTTTGTAATCGTTTCGTTGGTTTTAACGTTACGTTTATGTTGTCAGTTGTTGTTGTTCATTACCCCTAATGTGTTTAATTTTTCCAATTAAATTAACAATAATTTTGCAAGTTAGATAATAGAACGGTTTTTATTTTTTTACTCAAAAATGGCGCATCAAAAGAAAGTAACTCAAGGGAAATTATTTGCTTTAAAGTGAACGGGGAATTCAAAAATAATTTCTATTTTGCAAAAAAAGGTGTACCATTTTTTTCTTACGCATGCCAGTGTTAAAGCTAAAAATTATTTTTGCAATGAAAAATATGCAACTTTATTAACTTTCACTAAGTACTGAGTATCGGTTCTGAAAATATTAATTAATTACGATTTTTTCCTAAAACTTCAACACCCCGAGTTTTTGTAAGGAAACATTTTTGGACCATAGTTTATAAAGCAAACTAACATCAACTTTTCATGTAGATTTACACCCTTAAATATTCGCATATCATTGAAGAACACCATGTATATGTTTTAAACGTAATAACCCTACTGAACAGTCATTGATAGTGCAACAGATTAGCTCGACGCGTATTTAGCATAGGAAACATAATGATATGTTTGGATGACAGTATCTGAAGTCAGAAATTCCTTGTTGGAAAGGACTGGCTGAGTCGTTAAGAAAGGGGTTTAAATATAGTGACTGACAAAAAAACACCTGCGTATGTTTATTAGAATTCAAGAATCTTTTACATATCGATTTATCTTGCTACGAACAATAAGTGATATTTAGTATTTTTCTTGACAGTTTTGACAGTTGGGGTGACACGAGTATTGTCAAATATCTCGTTGCTCTCGAGAAATTGAGACTTGGTAGAGCAACAGTGATCGGTTGTCAATAAAGAGCTGAGGAAGCCCTGACCATGAAAAAAGACCGATATCGCACTTGTCTTGACAGCCTTGACAGTTGGGGTGACACGATAGCTGTAAAATATCTTCTTGCTCTCGAGTAATTCAAGTTTGGTAGATCAACGTTTCAAATTTCCTAATAAAGAGGTCAGCCTTGGAGTCAACCACTGCGCTCCTGTCACTCCCGACTGTCAGGCGGTTAAGGCATATAAGATCTCATCTCCTTAGATGAAATAACGTATGTATCAACATTCGGGGTATGAGCCTATGTGAAGTTAGTATTGCTCAGTTGAGATAATACTGATTTGTGATTGACAGACATCAAATCTAATGACAGATCATGTGCAAATTACAAATGAGCACTCCTCAACTGTTTGGCAACAGATGCGCTGTCTGTAGGCGCCCATCGGACGCTAAACTGCAAAAATGCAATGTGATCTAAAGGCCCGATCTCCTACCTGTCGAGAAACTTCGCTTAATGCAGTTGCAAGTTTTGGCATAAGTCATTACACAGGAATGACTATATCCGTTATCCTAGCTGCCGAACTCGGCTAGAATGTAAGCCCGCAGATTGAGGCACGACCATCTATTAACCTTGTATTTTGGACGCCAGTTGACATGACTGTTTACATTTTGAGAGAGCCATCAAATAAGTCATATGGTACGAAAGTATAGACATCATAGTGCGACATTTTAAAGCCGCAGACGCTAAGGAACACTCTTGTGAAGCAGTTGAATCACAGTGCGGTTACGTCACTGTTATTAAATTTGTAGATTATCTTAATCCCCAGTGCCCCATCTTTTGCCTCGTAAGAATCTTTTCTTAAAAGAATATTTTTTGTCAAGAGCCATACCGGCAACCCTAGAGACGTATCCCGTAGCTCTCTAATTAGGATGATGCTGTAATTGGTAACGTTAAAATAGGCCGATAAATGAAAGAACAAGTAATAAACAAATTATTTTATTGATGTCTAGGCTTTGATAACTACTACAAAGTCAGCTAATGTAAAATATAATGTTGCTGCAAACTGGTATTTTTTTGAACAGCAGCAAAATCCCTAGCGAAGACAATTTCTTTTTCGCTGTGACTTGACGTGTTGCAGGTCGAAAGGAATCCAGGTGACCATCCACGACGAGATGCTGTGCGCCGGGTACAAGACGGGTGGCAGAGACAGCTGCCAAGGCGACTCGGGTGGACCTTTGATGCTGCACAAGGGCGGCAGATGGTTTCTAATCGGCATCGTCTCTGCAGGGTAAGCTACTTCAAAAATTTAAGAAAGTATTACGAGTCATCAGCCGGGCATCGCGCGACGTAGATAACGTTGCATCTTTCATTGTTGATGTTTTGGTCAACGCTTGTTACTTGTTAAAATCAAACCCGGAGGCAAGTTTGACCTACTTCTGATGAGTGACGGTTATACCACAATATATGTTTTTGTTTTGTATTACTTATAAAATATATTAGGAAAATCAAGAACACTCATAGTCAACATTGTTAGGCCGCCACTAGCAACTGAGCGACTGATTTCCGAGATCTGTAGGGAGCAGTCGCGAAATGCTGATGACTCAGGACACATTTGGAAATTCGCAGTACAAATACAATCACATGTAGCACGAGCATGTGGGTGGAGCAAGAAACGTCACACATCTTGTAACAAAAATGTATATATATATATATATAAATACTTTCATCTGGCCCACCCCATAAATCACCTTTAAATGTGAGGCGAAGGGATCCTATTGATGAAATCTGTACAATCGCAAAGTTTCACGTTGATGCTGCATTCCATTCCTGTGGTGTGGATGACCGAAATTCGGATTCAACAAAGACAAAGGCGACAAAGACGACACAGTCGACAAAGACGACACAGGCGACAAAGACGACAAAGACAGACCGACAAAGCAAGCCCGGCAAAGAAAGACTCCATTCACCTCCTTTGTCTTCCCTGCCCTTATTCTTATTTATCTGCCTAATTCTGTCCTTTATCGTTCTTCTTTTGTCCTCCTTTTGTCCTCCTTTTGTCCTCTTCTCTTTTTGTCCTTCTTTTGCCCTCCTTTATTGTCCTTCTTTTGCCCTCCTTTTGTCATGTCCTCCTTTTGTCCTCCTTTATTGGCCTACTTTTGACCTCTTTTTGTCCTCATTTTGACCTCTTTTTGTCCTCTTTTGGTCCTCCTTTTGTCCTCTTTTTGTCCTCTTTTTGTCCTCTTTTTGTCCTCTTTTTGTCATCCTTTTGTCCTCTTTTTGTCCTCTTTTTGTCCTCTTTTTGTCCTCCTTTTGTCCTCCTTTTGTCCTCTTTTTGTCCTCTTTTTGTCCTCCTTTTGTCCTCTTTTTGTCCTCTTTTTGTCCTCTTTTTGTCCTCTTTTTGTCATCCTTTTGTCATCCTTTTGTCCTCTTTTTGTCCTCTTTTTGTCCTCTTTTTGTCCTCCTTTTGTCCTCCTTTTGTCCTCTTTTTGTCCTCTTTTTGTCCTCTTTTTGTCCTCCTTTTGTCCTCCTTTTGTCCTCTTTTTGTCCTCTTTTTGTCCTCCTTTTGTCCTCTTTTTGTCCTCTTTTTGTCCTCTTTTTGTCCTCTTTTTGTCATCCTTTTGTCATCCTTTTGTCCTCTTTTTGTCCTCTTTTTGGTCCTCCTTTTGACCTCTTTTTGTCCTCTTTTTGTCCTCTTTTTGTCCTCCTTTTGGTCCTCCTTTTGACCTCTTTTTGTCCTCTTTTTGTCCTCCTTTTGTCCTCTTTTTGGTCCTCCTTTTGACCTCTTTTTGTCCTCCTTTTGTCCTCTTTTTGTCCTCCTTTTGTCCTCTTTTTGACCTCTTTTTGTCCTCTTTTTGTCCTCCTTTTGTCCTCTTTTTGTCCTCCTTTTGTCCTCTTTTTGTCCTCTTTTTGTCCTCTTTTTGTCCTCCTTTTGGTCCTCTTTTTGTCCTCTTTTTGTCCTCCTTTTGTCCTCTTTTTGTCCTCTTTTTGTCCTCTTTTTGTCCTCCTTTTGTCCTCTTTTTGTCCTCTTTTTGTCCTCCTTTTGGTCCTCTTTTTGTCCTCTTTTTGTCCTCCTTTTGTCCTCTTTTTGTCCTCCTTTTGGTCCTCCTTTTGACCTCTTTTTGTCCTCTTTTTGTCCTCTTTTTGTCCTCCTTTTGTCCTCTTTTTGTCCTCTTTTGGTCCTCCTTTTGTCCTCTTTTTGTCCTCTTTTTGTCCTCCTTTTGGTCCTCCTTTTGACCTCTTTTTGTCCTCTTTTTGTCCTCCTTTTGTCCTCTTTTTGACCTCTTTTTGACCTCTTGTTGTCCTCCTTTTGGGCCTCTTTTTGTCCTCCTTTTGTCCTCCTTTTGTCCTCCTTTTGTCCTCTTTTTGACCTCTTTTTGTCCTCCTTTTGGGCCTCCTTTTGGGCCTCCTTTTGTCCTCCTTTTGTCCTCCTTTTGTCTTCTTTTTGACCTCTTTTTGTCCTCCTTTTGTCCTCCTTTTGACCTCTTTTTGTCCTCTTTTTGTCCTCCTTTTGGGCCTCTTTTTGTCCTCCTTTTGTCCTCCTTTTGTCCTCCTTTTGTCCTCTTTTTGACCTCTTTTTGTCCTCTTTTTGTCCTCCTTTTGGGCCTCTTTTTGTCCTCCTTTTGTCCTCCTTTTGTCCTCTTTTTGACCTCTTTTTGTGCTCCTTTTGACCTCTTTTTGTCCTCTTTTTGTCCTCTTTTTGTCCTCCTTTTGACCTCTTTTTGTCCTCTTTTTGTCCTCTTTTGACCTCCTTTTGTCCTCTTTTTGTCCTCTTTTTGTCCTCCTTTTGACCTCTTTTTGACCTCCATTTTCATTTTACCATCTGTCCCTTCGCTGCCCTTTTCTGCAATCCTCCGTCTGCCTTCCGCTCCTCTGCCCTCCTCCGACTTTTCCGCCTGTCTTCTTCGCCTATCTTCTCTCCACCTGATTATGTCGGCCCTAATTCTATACGCAGGTCCTACTCCTGTCTTCTTCTTTATCTGTTTGCTGTCTTTTCGGTCTGTCTTCCATCATTTTAATGTATCTTGACCCTTTTCATTTTCCGCTTTTCTTTTCCTCCTGCCTTCTGCGTCTGCCCTCTCTGCCCGTCTTCCTCATATGCCTTCTCCGTCGTAGGTCTTCTTCATCGCCTCCGTCTTCTTAGTCTTCTCCTCAGACTTCGTCTTCTCCGTCTGTTCCATCTTGTCCGTCTTCGCTATCTTCTCCATTTTCACCGACTTCTCCTTGTTCTTAGCCTTTCCAGTCTCTTCAGTCCTCTCCATCTTTGCTGTCATCTCCATCTGCTCCGTACTTTTTATATTTTCTCTCTCTTTCGTCTTTTTCATATCTTTGGGTTCTTCAATACTGGTGTTATTTCTTGCAAACCTCATTTATCACGTAGTACTTGCGTCTCATTTGCTCACAGGTACTCCTGTGCTCAACCCGGTCAACCAGGCATCTACCATCGCGTTGCGCATACTGTAGATTGGATCAACAGAGCTATTGGAGGAGCAACCTGATGATCAACGCCAATTTTCACGAACAAGATTAGACGTGTAGGCGAAACAGAGGCCAGAACAAAACGTATGAGAGGATTATTGTATATATTGTGTGTGTTTGTCCCATTTCATTGCTGTACAGAATATTCCTTTGTGATTTAAAGTAGAACAGTAGTCAGATTGATATTTTTTTCTTTTGTACAACATATTTTGGAGGTTTCCACAACAGTCAATCCGTCAACACGAAGTATCCGAGTTAGCTTTCAACCATACCTTGTATTACTTTCCTAGTTATTGGAACATACCGTAACACTTTTTCTCACAACATTGTAATTACCATTATAGCCAATTACCATTTTGGAAGGGAAATTTGAAATAGTGCAAAATTATATATTATAGTAATTTATTGAAATTTATTTTTGTATGTCATGTAATTTATTTTTTGTAAAAAATAAATAATATTTCCATATTTCCGTATTTTTATTTGTTCAAAATTGAATCTGACATGAAAAACACCAGTTTTTGTCTATTGCCTGCCTGTTTTCAGTTGAAAGGTGGGCGACTGAAAGAACAGTGCATACCCTTCCACGTTTTTATTTCTAATTCGCAAGAGTCCCGACATATTCTGGGACCCTCTAATTTAGTAGGTACATTGAGCACACGTCGCCAGACAAATAAGGTTGTTTTATGTTATTTTTAAACACTATGCATCGTCAAACTCATTCTTGATTTCAAGTATAAGGCTAATTGACACTTTTTTAAGTTGTTCTTCAATAGTTAATATTTGCTCTATTGAAACAGTAAAAAAAGTTCTACACACATATTTTTTCAGAGCTAAAAGACCGTAAGACTTTGATGCAAAAATATATTTTTCTCAGCCTTGTTTGGCCCACATTGTTCTTACGTCATACCATTTATAAACAGTAGTCGACAGCAGCATAACCTCTCAAATTTTTAGAAATATATGTAAATATGACTAGTTTACATGGAGAAAATGGTAAGTATCGCTATTGTATCGTTCGAGAATGTAAAAATATAACGATGAAGACTCCAGGAAAGCTGTGAATTAGAGTGCTCCAAGAAATAAATATACGCACAACTTTGTATTGCTTGGACATATTTTTCATTCTAATTTGCTGATGTTATCGTGGTTTTTTAAAATCGGACCAATATACAGGGTGACTTCGAAGTTGAGTCATTTATTTTAACAGTGAGTAGATCTGATCAAAAGAAATGTTTTTTTCCTTTAACATTTTTCTGGTAAAATTAAAGTAACAAAGTTATAGCCCTTTAGAAGTTTGAGTACCGCCCTGTCTCAATAATAATATTATGTGCTCGTGTTTGGCGACAACGGCAAACGAAATAAAAAATGGCACATGTTTACGAAAATGCTGAACTTGTGGACATGATTCTTATTTACGGGGGGGGGGAGTCTTTACAAAATGCTGCCGCGGCATCACAGATTTGTGCGAATCGGTTTCCCAATCGAGTGCAACCAACCCCTCGTGCCTTTGTTAATGTAATACAAAGGGCTCGTGAATCAGGTGACTTAAGACCTCACAGGCATGCCGGTGCTCCAAGACCGCACGATCAAATACAGGTCCGCACTGAAATACTTGTCGGGAGGATACTTTATAAAACAAGGTAACATTTTTTTTTAATTTCTTTTTTATTTTTACACACATATTTTGATTTATCTCCCTTCTACAATCATTATCTGAAAATTAATGGCTCAACTTCAAAGTCACCCTGTATATAGGGTGGCCCATCCATGTGTAGACGGAATATTACTCATAAACAAATACATTTTGGGAAAATCTATTTATGACATGTTATACACGACATTTGAAGGCACATTTCTAAAATATTGGAAATTATACAGGGTGTCCTAATTTTGACCTACATATCAAAGTTGTGATTTTTTAAATTGAATGTCTCAAATTTTATTGCATGTTTGGATAAACCAATTCAAAAGAAGAAGATTAATATAATATAATATACTATGGGGTTTTGGTAATTAGCTACTGAGATGTAAGGTGTTTTTTTTGTCCAGAAAAACCGTCCACTTCGGCAACCCCTCAGTTGGCCATTTTGAAATTTGGACTTGAATAGTGATAGTTGTTTGTTTCTGTTGTTGTTATAGTTGTTTTTCTCTTTTACGCATGAAGCTGACTTACACTGTTCTGATTGTTATTAGTTTTTACGTCAAATCTGTACTCTTAGTGCCAATATGGAACTAGCCCACTGTTTGTCTTTTGATTCCATGGATGATATGATTTTTTCCCTTAATTTTGGTCTGTGGTTCTATTAAAAGCTTAATAACTCAAAACCTAGTGATTTCATCGGAATCAAACCTCATAAAAAAAAAGCTTATAAGAAGTTGGATCCAAACCTGCACAAATATACATGGTGATGCATTTGAAATTTTTGAGAAAAACTACAATTTGCGTTTTTGACCACCCTGTATGAGCAAACATTAAAATTCGAAAAAGTAACAAATAGGATAAAAGCTGAGGTGCGTCAGTTTTTTTTGAGCACTCCAAATTTCAAAATGGCGGACTGAGGGGTTGCCGAAGTGAGGGGTTTTTCTAGACAAAACACCTCATATTTCAGTAGCTAATTACCAAAACCGCACAGTGTGTTATATCAATCCTCTTCTTGTGAATAAGTTTATCCAAATATGCGATCAAATTTGAGGCATTCTACTTGAAAAATCACAACTTTGATATGTAGGTCAAAATTGGGACACCCTGTATAATGGCCAATATTTTAGAAATGTGCCCTCAAATGTCATGTATGACATCCCATAAATAGATTTTCTCAAAATGTATCTGTTTATGAGTAATATTCCGTCCACACATGGATGTGTCACCCTGTATATCTCGCGCTTTTAAAAATTGAGATCATTACATTTCGTTTTCCTAAGTAGCCTATTGTTACTCTATTTTGCCACAACAGCTTTTATACAAAGGGATGTTTGATGTAGGTAAATTAAATGTACTATGATTCTCGGTACAAAGTAACTGTTTGAGCCATTCTAGCCGCCTTTGGCAGCACTACACAACGCACGGTTTCATTTAATAAACGTTAACGTTTCACCGGGGGCGAGCTGTCCTTTGTGCACATTTAATTGGGGTTTATCCAGGAAAGTCCGCCAGGTGGGTCGTATGCCAGCTACATCGCAGTAGCTAAAATGGATAAAATAGGAAAATGGAGCTGGATAGCTGCAGCTTTATGGTCTCCGCTAAAAGGTGGTAGTATGCATTTTTGTAGCTGAACCTACATGTTTCGTAATATATTGTTGTGGTGGTTAATGGGTAGGGAATATTGTTGGTTTCATTACTGCCAAATCATTTGCTATGGGCATGTCGCGTGTTTAGACCAGGGTAATAAATGAAGGGTACAGGGGAAAAAAGATGCATATCACAGAAGGTACGTTTCGTGAAAAGTGAATTTAAAATTTTGTAAACTAGTAGACTCGTGGTACGAGCAGGGTTTTTCAAAGATCTAACGGAGTATCATAGATTCGTTATTATAAGGAATTGAAAAAAAGTTAAATTATAAATATTTTTTTTGATATACAGTTTTTTGATATACAGGGTAGCTCAAAAGTGAAAGCAGACCAAACATTTTAATAATGGAAAATCCTTTTAATTTTTGTATTTTGAGATTCTCCTTAAATATTTTTTATGTATTAAGAGTCCATGCCTAAATGTAACTTTATTTGTTATTTGAGATATTGAGGTTAGAACTGAGCCTTTCGTCATATGCGACACCCTGTAAAATGTAAGGGATGATTAACCAGCAAGATGCCTATCTTAGCTTTTACGATCTGTTCTAATATGAGAATTGTTAATGTTTTAACAGGAAATTTATTATACAGCATCTAGAACATGAGGAAAAAGAAAAAAACAATGAACCAAAGCTCTATTTAAAAGAATATAGAACTGCCAAAACAATATTAAAGGTACAGTACCGCACAAAAGCATGGAAACATTCTCAGTAGTTGTTAAAAAGTGTGCTAATTTTTTATTGTTGATTATTAAGGACTATTCTTTTCTCATATAGTTTGCTTACAGTTTTGAGGATACAAATGACAATTTGTGTTTGCTGTGGTACTACAGACTAGAATTAAGATACCTTCACATTATTTTATGACCGAGAATGAGACGACAAAAGTATGGAAACATATTTTCTATTGCAAAATTAAATACAATACCTCTATAAAAAGATTTAAAAGATACTTTCTAGCTAATGTTTAGTAAAACAACCTTTATTTAGCATTCAACATTGCCTGAAATATGCTGCTCATAGAAGACGCCATATTTTTACAGACGTCTGTTGGAATATTTTGCCAAATATTTTTTACATAATCAAATAAATCGTTCTAATTTTTTTTTAGTTTTTCCTGTTAGTTGTCTTTTAACATGCTCCCAGAGATGTTCTATAGGGTTTAGGTTCGGAGGTTGCGAAGGCCATGTAAGAACGTTAACATTTTTCTCTCAAGTCTCAAGTCCTTTAGGGATACTGAGGTATGCTTGGGGTCATTATCTTGCTGGATAGTCCATCGTAAAGGCAGTTCTTATTCAGCAAAAGGGAGCATATGTTCAGTAAGAACATCGTTGTACCGTTTTTGAACCATTTTCCCAACAATTCTAACAATTGGACCCATTCCAGAATTAGAAGAAAAACCCTCGTTCCAGAATTAGAAGAAAGCCATGATGTTGCGTCCACCGTGCTTAACTGTTGGCAACTGATACTTTTTGTCGAATCTTTTTCGTACTGAGCGTCTCACATATGCCGTACCGTCAGATCCAAACAAGTTAAATTTGCTTTCATCGCTCCATAGAACTGTATTCCATTGATGTTCTGTCCAAGATAGATGAGTTTTAACAAATTCAAGCACAGCAATACGATTTTTTTTTAAATGAGAGGCTTTTGCACTGCACACCTACAAAAAAGAACAAAATCCACCAAGCGTCTCTGCACTGTTCTGACAGAAAAATTCCCAGCTCTTCTACGATTCTTTTGCAAATTTTTGTGGCTGGCATTCGAGGATCTTCAAACGGTTAATGTAGCGATCCAAAACAAAATGGGTGTTTTTAGGTCTCCCGCACCTGAGCCGCGTTGCCGTTGATCCGTATTCTTGATATTTACTAATAATTTTCGTAATGGTCCCTTCGTCCATTTTTTATCTTTGAGAAATGTCAACACCACTTCTAGATAATTAAATTACTTTGTCTATTGAATCTTTTGAAAATCCTTTTACTTTTGCCATTCTCATGATATCGCAATATCAGAGTATCGCAGAACGAATAAATACGGCAAAACTGAAATGTTCCATACTTTTGTCGTTACAAAAACTGCGGTATTTAAAAAAACGCATGTATTTATTTTCAGGGAATTTGAATATTTATAAGGTAAACCTTG